CACAAATAAACTGTAACCGCATTAGTCTTTGGAGGCTTCAGATATCGTACAATTGACAAAAGGCAAGTGCTTATGGAATCCCATCGTTTACAAAAGTGGCATTTCGATTGGACACTGGCCGGTTGTTCGACTTTTCTTAAATGTTTCATCATCCTTAGCAAAAGCTTGAGGCACCCCAGGGTGCCGCGTTACCCACTTTGAGAACCTCTGCTGTATTCTACGGTCGTAATCATCTTCATTTAATTCTTATAACAATTGGATTTTGTACGGATTATGTAATACACGCAAGACTAAAGAATGGTCTAAATAATGTATTTGTGTATCTCTTCGTCAGGATGTATGGGGATCTTCAACGGAACTAAACTAATCTTAAACTTAAATCTAATTTTTTCTTGTATACCTATAGAATCGAATCGAATCGAATTGAATCGGATCAATTCATTTCTTGTTTCAAAATGTACAGGATGATCCGATTGATCTAAGTTTAGGGATTGGAAGTAAAATTGAAATTATTGAAACTAATCAGCCAGTGTATAAAGAGGAATTCAACATTAATCCCTTGACGACTAATATTTAGAACAAAAATGAAAAGCCGATCAAATGATAATGAAAAAAAAGTCGCGTTGATTAAGTGTACAAATTGAAAGCATACAATACAATAAGTATACCTTTTTTTATACCTAGTATCCAGAGGGTCTGGAATATTCAAAAGACATCTCAGTCCAGGACGCCGCCTGACTGATCTTACTGCAGGATTCGATCTTCGTGCTCTCGGCAATAGTTCCAGAGGTACAAAGCACTACCTTCATTCATAAACATACTTCCAGCAAGGAGGCTCCCTGTCTCTTTCCAGATAGTGCGTGGAAGACTCTCATCGCTTCTAGTATGGCATTAGTCCCAGACAAGCATTTCCTCTTTTGCCACAGTCTGACTCACACAGTTCAACTCATACAGTCTGACCCACTTTTCTACCTTCAACTTTCAACATCTTTCATGCCGTTGGTCCAGATTTATTTCTTCCCCTTCTTTTTTCATGATCACTGCTCTGTAGAGTTGTGTACACAAATCCAACCTGCTTTATTTTCATTCATTCTCTCAAGCATTTCTCTCACTGTAACAAAATTTACACGTGCCTCTCTTTCCATTCTGTTCCTTTCTACTATCCATCTGTTACACTCTAACGTATGTGTCACAGTATCCGAGTGTCTACAGTATAGGCATTCATCTATTTTAGCCTTTCCGAACTTAGAGAGGTAGGCCCTAAAACACCCGTTTCCTGTGAGCACCTGCGCCAGGAAATAATCCAGTCGCCTATGGCTAAAGTCCACCCAATCTCTTATGTTCGAAATCAGCATCTTCGTTAGTTCTGTCACATCCTCGGTGTTGTTCCATTCTTCCTGCTATCTTTCAATTGACGTTTCCCTTTTCTGTCTTCTCTCGACAATAGTAAGGTTTGGGTCTCTTATCTCATAGAGCTCTATTCTTTCCACCGCAAAAATATGCAACGGAACACATCCAGTGATGGTCCACAAGGCTACCGCAGACACAGTCCTTGTTTTGTCCACTTATGTCATGAACCGTCTATAGGCCGTTATCACTGCCTCCCCGCTCTAGACTAGTGCAGCGTAAAGGACGATCGACTGCACAACACCGTGTAATATACTCTTCCTTTCGAATTTGGGTCCCCCAATGTTAGGCATTACCCTCCCTAACGCTGCCGCACTATTCGCAGCCTTCCTTGCCACCTCCCGTACGTGCTCACCCCATTTTCCATTGTGGTGCAACGTCACTCCAACGATACTTTTCGTGTTTCTTGGGTGTTAAATATAACCCTGCACATTGCAATTCCACACTTTGCCTTTTCCTTTTCCCCTTCAGAATAATGCCTTCAGTTTTCTCTGCCTCAAGCTTCAGTCAGTGTTGCATCATTCATTTCTTTACGACGGCGTCTGCGTTCCGAACCCGGTATTTGACATTTAGCTCGTCACGTCCACGATTGTGCCCTTTTTACTGCCCCTTTACTCCGCCACAACATTTATCAGGTAACCAGGACATTCTCTCGAATCGATACCTACTATCCTGTGAAATAGTTGTATAAGTCAAACGGTATTTCATTTTAAGGAATGCAGATTGTGAGTATTTAATTCGAGCTCAGATTTCAACCTCTATATCTTTGGTTATCTATGAGCCAAGGTATCTATGGGGATGTTATAAATTTTAATGTTGGCTTGTAGATTTGAACGTTTGCCAGGATGACAATATCATCGGCATATCTTATATTGTTGATCAGCCTTCCACTAATTTTACTGATTTCGTGGATGTTTTTCAGTGCACTATGGAACACTTCTTCAGAGTAACTGTTGAAGAACAAAGGTAACAGAACACAACTCTGGCGCACTCCTCATGGTAAGGGACAATACTGGATAGGTTTTTGCCTATTTTGGTTGAGGCTGTCTGTTTCCAATACATATTTAAAATAAAATGTATATCTCGTTTGTCTAACCCTTGTCTAGTAAGTAGGTCAATGACTTTGGTGTGTTTTACTCGATCAAACGTCTTTTCTTAACTATGGAATTCACATAAACATATTTTGTCTGTTTTTTGAATTTTTTATGAGCACTGTAACACTAAAGCGGGCCTCCCTGGTTCCTTTCCCTTGACGGAACACTGCCCTATTAAAGAAAAATAAAACACAACATTAAATTTTTATTGCACATTTATTATATAAATTATTTATAGAATTATATATCAGGTTTATGATATTTATATTATATTATAAATGTCTAATTAAAGTTTAATTTAATATTAAGATAGATGATCGTGATCTATAATTTAAAGTTTAGTTCAAAATGATAAGTACATAAATCTACTAAAATATACAGAACTAAGTCTTAATATCACAATTATACAAGAGGAAGCTATTCCAGCTTCTTAAGTATTTTCTTGTTAGGTATTTGGTATCAATTGGATTAGGTTCTTCTACTGAAAAGGATATCAAACCAAGTCAGCCAAGTACATATCAAACATTATCATTCAACTGTTTTACTTCTGTATAAAATGAAAAAGTTTCTGGTTAATATATTTTAGAATAAAATATATAAATAATACAGAAAAAGAGAGAACAATCATGAGCGGATATCAAGGACCACAATCTACTTATATAGTAGGGTAGTATAATTATAATTGATGAATAGAAGAAAAGTCAAAGAAAATGACAACGCAGCGTATCAGCAAATACAAAAGAAATAAAAAAACAAACAAATAGAAAAGCTAAAAATAGAAAGATGGAAGCTAGATGTGAATATATCGAGATACTAGAACGTAAAAGTCATTTTACCTCCACAGGAATATAAAAAGCAGAAGCACAGGCTGTTATATAAAATATTAAAGATGGTGAGGGTGCAGTGTCCTAAGAAATAAATTGTATGAAGCCATGAATGAATTCCACATCCCGATAAACTGATAAGATTGGTTAAGGCTACAATGCGTAATGTGGTTTGCAAAGTCGAAATACAGGGCGAACAGGCGTTTGGAACGCATGTTGGGCTGCTACAGGGAGACGCGCTGGCGTGTCTCCTTTTCAACATAGCACTGGAAAAGGCGATCAGAGATGCCCGAATAGAAACTGAGGGAAATATTTTTAATAAATCATCCCAAATTTTTGGCATATGCAGATGATGTGGACCTAGTTGCCCGCACAACACGCAAGCTAGAAGAAATGTATACCACCTTCTCAAATGCCTCAAAATCTATGGGCCTGCAAGTAAATGAGGAGAAAACTAAGATGATGGCATCAACACCCAACAATAGAGTCAGGAACATCGGTCCCCAATTCACGGTTGATAACTCTACCTTTGAAGTGGTGGACAAATTCACATACTTAGACACATACTCCCTGATCACCAAAGAGAACGCCATAACGGAAGAAATCAAGCGAAGGATAATAATGGCAAACAGATGCTATTTTGGACTGAGTAGACATATGAGAAGTAGAAACTTAAGCCAAAAAAACAAAAATAACTATATACAAAACCCTTATACACCAAGTGTTGACGTATGGATCGGAGACATGAACCATCTTCAAGGCAGACGAAGACCTTCTGCTTATATTTGAACGAAGGATCCTGAGAGGAATATTTGGTGGCATCTGTGAAAATGGTGTTTGGAGGAGGAGATACAACTACGAGGTATACCACAGATCTAAACAAATATTTGGTGGTAAAGACGTAGTATCCCTTATAAGAAGAGGAAGACTAAGATGGGCAGGACATCTAGCAAGATCACAGCAGAACAACCCTCCTAGAAGAATCCTTATGTCACAACCCGTGGGAAGTAGAAAAAGGAGTAGGCCAAAACTCAGATGGAAGGATGGTGTAGATGAGGATGATAGAAAGATAGGAGCAGCAAACTGACAACGGTTGGCAATGGATAGGACTGCCTGGCGTAATAGACTTGGGAAGGTCGAGGCTCTTTCATAGGGCTGTAGCACCATTGATGATGATGAGGGTGCAGAACAGATGACTTGTTGTTAGAATTCTTGAAATAATGGACATTGGAAAGAATACAATCGATGAATACACTCGAAGCGTTTGAGATGCTGTGCTACAGGTGTATAGTATGGATCTCTTGGATATACAGACAGAATCTGTATAGACAGACAATAATAGACAGTAATCATCAAATCAATTAAACTGAAACATCTAGACCATATAAAGCTCAATGAGTAGCTATATAACCTACTTCAAATCAAACTACAGGGCAAGATGTACACAAGAAAGGGTTTAGGAAGTAGGAGGATATCCTGGATGGACAATTTAAGGAAATCGTTCAATTTAACTACTACAGGACTTTTTAGGACCTCAGTAAATGAAGTCAGAATCCTCAGGTTAGTTTTTAACATCCGTATTTGATAGTCACTATGAAAAAATATCAGTCATAAATTTAAATTCAAAGTAGTTTAATATTTCATTCATCTTGATATAGAGAAATGCTATTTACATTTATACATCCAGGACGTGATTAAGATATGCTATATAACAAATTGCGAGTCTTAAAATTTCTATTTTTGACAATTTTTTATCTGGAGGTAATGTAGGTAACAGTTTTCTTAATTCTGCAAAAGCAACGTTAAATGCTTCTACCCTAATTCGCTCTCTTGTGGCGTGAGCAGTTCGATATTTTTGGGTGGCTCTTCGCCTTCTCCTACGTTCTTCTCTGCTTAATGAACCCATTTCGTTACTTCTTTCCCTGTAAAGAAAATTCATAATTTAAGCAATTGTAATTTACTTACTAAAACAATAAATAAATTGAAAAAAAGAAGTTATGACTTGAAGATGATGTTATTTTAATGTATGATTTTTGTTAGTTTACAATGTTAGGAAAAAACTAGCATAGTTATATCTGCAACATTAAGGTTAATACTATTTAAATCATCACAATTCTCTTTGCGATTATTCCTATGATAGTTTCGTTCTCTAATTACATTTATCCTGTGATGTTTGGAAGTCAGTGTAGGAACGTAGAGGCCTACTTTGTAAATTTCGTCGAGACAAATTTAAACCATTTTTTTTCAAACATTTATCAACCTCTGCATTTCATACTTCGACATAACTACGACATTATTCTTCTTCTTTATGTGCCGTCTTCTACCGAAGATTGGCGACCATCATACGATAGGTTTCTCTGTTTTGTGCCGCATGAATTATGTTCGCAGCTTCTGGTATTTGAAACCATTCTCTCAAGTTTCTCAGCCAGGATTTCTTCTTTCTGCCCAAACCTCTTCTACCTTCAATCTTGCCTTCCACGATAAGCTGTAGCAGACTGTACTTATCATTACGGAACACATGGCCCAGGTATGACGCTTTCCTCCTTTTAACAGTTGTTAACAATTCCACCTCTTTACCCATTCGTCTTAATACCTCTGTGTTGGTCACTCTGTCTGTCCAAGGTATTCTCAGTATGCGTCGATACAGCCACATTTCTAGAGCCGCTAACTTCTTTATAGTTGCTGCTGTTAACGTCCACCTTTCTACGCCGTAAAGTAGCGTAGAGAGTACGTAGCATTTCGTGGCGCGCCATCGGAGGTTAATGCTTAGGTTGCGGTTGCTTAAGAGCTTTCTCATTTTGATGAATTTGGATCTTTCTATTTCAATTCGGATCTTAATCTCTACTTCTGGGTCCCACTTGTCATTTACTGTATATCCCAGATATTTAAATCGGTGTACTCTTTCAATACGTTCGTCTTCAATATGCAGGTCGATATGTTGAAATTTTTTTTTACTGATCACCATAAATTTAGTTTTCTTTCTATTGATCTTCAGTCCAAATCGGCTGCCAGTTGTATTAACTCTATGTAGCATCATCTGTAAATCTTCGATGTTATCGGCCAGTATAATAGTATCATCTGCATATCGAAAATTACTTATTGGTACGCCATTAATCTTGATGCCCTCATTGTACTCTTCTAGTGCCTCTAGAAATATTTGTTCCGTGTACAGGTTGAAAAGCAGTGGCGAAAGAATACAGAACTGTCTTACCCCTCTAGAAATGGTTATGTTTTCACTCACCATATGTCCATTCTTCATGTGGGCTGTTTGATTCCAATATAGATTTTAATCTGGATGTCCTTAGTGTCAAGTCCTGAAAGACGTAATAGTTCTATGAGTTTGTCATGTTTGATAGTATCGAATGCTTTCTTATAGTCGATAAAACAGACGTAAACATCTTTCTGTTGATCCAGGCATTTTTGAATCAAAACTTGTATTGCAAAGAGGGGTTCTCGAGTTCCAAAACCGCATCTAAAACCGAACTGTGTTTTACTTATGCTGTGTTCTAATTTTGTTCGTATTCTGGAATGGATAATACGCAAAAATACTTTAAGGGTGTGGTTCATTAAACTTATAAGGCGATATTCACTACATGTCTTAGAATTATATTTCTTGGGAAGGGGCACAAATGTAGATTTCAACCAGTCCGATGGAATTTGACCAGTATCGTATATCTTATTAAACAGTTCCAATACTACATTCAGGTTGTTCTCGTTAAAAACTTTTAAGAATTCGACTGGTATTTGATCGCATCCTGTTGCTTTCCCATCTTTCGTTTGATCTATAGCTTTTATCACCTCACTTTTCAATATTTTTGGTCCATTCAGATCAAGAGTGTTCGTAGAAATATGACGATAATCCGTAAACAAATCTTTTATGTAGATTGCCCAAGTCTGTAAACTGTTCTTCTTTATCTACAATAAGTTTATTGTTCTCGTCTATTAACCTACCAAACTGTTTTTTCTTGTAAGTATAAGTAAACTCCTTGATTTTTTTATGTATGTTAAAACTATCGTGTCTTCGTTCTAGCTCTTCTATCTCTTGACATTTTTCTTGCAACCATTTTTCTTTGGATTCTTTTATCTTTCTGCTGACAGTTCTATCCAGTTCTTTATATTGTTCGGGATTATTCTTATTTTCCCTCCTTCTGTCCATAAGGTGTAATATTTCATCTGTCATCCACTCGTTCTTCTTCTTCCGCTCGGAGTCACCAATTACTTCTTTTGCACCGTTGCATATAGCGTCCCTTAAGTTGATCCAGTCTCTTTCAATATCATCAGTGTTGGTTGTTAAAGCAACATTACTATTAATGCTATTTGTAAGCTTGGCTTTTATCTCAGGATTTCTAAGTTGATCCATATCTAATCTTTTGTTATTCTGTTTCTGGATTATGGTTTTTAGTCTTACTCGTAATTGGGCTACAAGAAGATTATGATCAAGTTTATATCAGCTCCAGGATATATTTTTGGCTGATATTATTGCGTTACGGAATCGTTTGTTAATTGTTATGAAGTCTATCTGATTTCTAACGATGTACCCAGACCTATCCTGTGGTGACTTCCAAGTGTACAATCTTCTTACTGGTAGCTTAAACCAAGTATTTGTGATAATTAAGTTTTTCTCCTGGCAAAACTGTATTAGTCGATCACCTCGTTCATTTCTTGTTCCCAACCCATACTTGCCAACTACGTCACTGACTTCGCCTTTTCCTATTTTGGAGTTGAAATCTCCCATTACCATGGTTATGTCTTGTTTCTTTAGGTTTTTTTTTACATTATTGGAAAATGATAACAATAATAATCTTAATCTTGCGTGTCTCTAATAATAATAATTCGTTTCAAATCCACATCTTGTTTATCATCTTGCATCTTAAGACTCATGACTCACTGTTTTTTACTACCAGACTTTTCTTAGTAGGTATATTCATTTTTTCATTTTATCTTTTTGGTTACTTCACTTATTTATCTTAGCACTTTTATTCCTATAATAGTCATTCCCACTATTAATACCAAACATTAAGTGCTGCACATCATAGTCAATCTTACATTGCACTTATACAGGATGTTTCGTTGGGAAAGTAACATACGTTAACTGTAAAAAGGGGACACTTAAGGTTGTATTTCGTCAATAACAAAGCTACTCAATATTTTATCTATTTTGTCAACTTCATATTTAAATCACAACTTTGAACCACACGTTTTCATTATATTTGGCACGCGAGTATACTTTAAGGTGCTGAATCGATTAATTTGTTTATAATTATTTGTTTATAATTATAAGAAATCCAGGAAAAGAGGATGAAAAATTAAATTTATTGTGTTTTTTTTTGGTAAAAAAAATTAATCACTAAATTTAGTTTTTCATACTCTTTTCAAATGCTGAATCCACTATTACTTCAGTCACCATAGACGAAAATGCCAATGAAGCTCTAGAAATCATACGAACAAGCTGAATTTTGTCGAGAATATTAATTTTGGGACACCAAAAAAGATGAAAAAAGTTTACTACTTTTACTCTCTAAAAGAGTAATCCTCTCGTTTAGGGCTTACCCTAAAAACACCCTCGTAGGGAGGTTAAAACGCAAAAAATTGATTTACCAATAATCTGTACGCTGTTGAAAAGAATGTTTTAAATAAAAAATGGAGCTAAAATAATTTGAAACAAAAATGTTAGTTAGTATATTTGTGTAGAATGAACCGTTCTCTCACAACCAACGCTTGAAACGACCGTCGATTTTGAACGTCAGTTACAAGCGCGAAGTCAATGTTCAATAAAATTTGTATCAGCTCGACGGTAAAAATTCAATATTTTTTGATTTAAGTGTCCAATCGATAAACATTAACATGCGTTTTAAAGGTAAAGAGTTTAGCTTTCGTACGCAATTTTTGTATGTTGCCGCATAACATACGTTAACTGTAAAAAGGGGCAAATAAACTTAGATTTTATAAAGATGTTAAATAAAAAAATAAACGTAGCGCGATTTTTAGCATTTTTTATGATTCTCATGAGATCCATTAATCTATCCCTTTCACTGACTAGCCACTATGAAGTTTTTATTACTAGAGCCTAACCTTCAAAACTTATAGCATCAAATTTTAGTTTTGTCATGACAACAATGTAAGGCATTAAAATTGCTTAAATAACCCTGGATTTAAACTTTTATATAACAAACGGTTCTAAAACGTTTTTTTTTTCATTCATCAATTACACTAGTCCGTTTTTGAAAGGAACCAAACTTCTGCTATAAAGTACACCCAAAATCGTCTTCATGGAGAGATTTTGCGTAACGTCTGATCATTAGTAATGGAAAACAATAAATTCTGCGTTTTTTTTATTATATTTCAAATGCCTCGTATTTGTTAGCACAACAGAACTTAAAATTGTAATTTGATGTCATAGGTTTTAAAGAAGCCCGGAGGTAAAAGTGGTGCACTTTTTTAAAGTCTGTTCTGTTCTTTGCTTTATTTTTCCAGTTGGTAATCTTAAGTGTTTTTCAAATCTTGTTCCATGTATCTAAGTTTGGGTCTTCCCTTTGACCTTCTCCCTATTTTGCCTCATTATATGTTTTGGCGTTTCAGTATCCAACATTCGTTCATTGTATGCTGTGTATAGTTCAAAGTTATATCTTCTGCGCCATATGTATATATATATAAGCGAGGTTCCTACAGCCTCTGCCGTTTCTCGCATTTCGACCGCCATCGTTTTCTGTCCATCCATTCGTCTTCTCTGATGGCTCTATCTCTCATTATGTGCCGTACATTTTCTTCCCAGGCAACTGAAGGCCTTCCCCTTCTTCTTCTTTGTTGTGGTATGTAATTTAAAGCTTTCTTTGGCCATCTATCTTCATTCATTCGTTTTCACGTGACCATACCACACTAGTTGTCTCGTTTCAATTCTATCTACACTGGAATATACAGTATT